GAAAATGATTCAAAGATCACGAATACAGATGATGGTGACAAACTAATTGAATGCCCACATCTAATTGGCATGAATAGAGTTATAAAATTCACATAAAATAAAAGATTCCTTCCAAATATACCATGATGATATAAAAGTATTGATAGTAGTCTAAAACACTGAGCAAATATGGACTTCTTTCAAGTATCCTGTACACGCTCGGTCATCCTACTACAGATAAGTTATGTTAGCATCAAGAGTGAAGCAAACATGAAGTGATGCTGACTTGAGTATCAGTAAACACATCTCTAAGGAATTCAAAGTCAAAGAAATTATAACGGCAAATACACATGCTTCATTGACCAAGAAAATACTAAATGCCAAAAAAAAATGTAGACTACAACTATGTAAAAAAAAAAAAAACAGTGATTAGTGAAAGAAATACTAGCTAAAAGGAATGAGAGCATGTGTTCTGTGCACTGTATGTGGTCTCTGTTACATGTTCTCTTTTGTGCTGTACTTATGAATGTTTAAAAATGAAAAAAAGAAAACCAAAGAAAGGAAGGAAGAATTCTAGAAGGCTAAGAGCAATAATGAATCATTCAAAACATCATAGTCCTGGGAGTGTGTCACAAAAATATTTCTGAATTCGACCTACAGGTTGGAGTTTTCTAATTTGATTTACTGGGTTATACAGTCTTTAATTTTTATAATATAAAAAAATCACTGAAAATTAATGAGCTCAGCATGCAACTTAAAAAATTGATCAAAGATGGCCAAATACCCTAATTGTCGTGCTAGAAACCTCATCCAACTACTGAGGGATCTGGATGCAGAGATCCATGGCTAGGCCCCGGGTGGATCTCTGGGAGTCCAATTATCGAGAATGAGGAGGGTTTATAAGAGCGAGAATTGTTGAGACCAAGGTTGGATAAAGCACAGGAACAAATAGCCAAACGAATGGAAACACATGAACTATGAACCAATGGCTGAGGGGTCACCAACTGGATCAGGCCCTCTGAATGGGTGAGACAGTTGATTGGCTTGATCTGTTTGGGAGGCATCCAGGCAGTGGGACCGAGTCCTGTGCTCATTGCAGGAGTTGGCTGTTTGAAACCTGGGGCCTATGCAGGATCACTTGGCTCGGCCTGGGAGGAGCGGACTGGACCTACCTGGACTGAGTCTACCAGGTTGATCTCAGTCTGTGGGGAAGGCTTTGCCCTGGAGGAAATGGGAATGGGGGGCGGGCTGGGGGGGAGGTAAGGGGGGCGGGAGGGGGGAGAACAAGGGAATCCGTGGCTGATATGTAGAACTGAATTGTATTGCAAAATAAAAATAAAAAAAATGATCAAAGAATAAATCAGAAAGATAGAATAAAATTTTGTAAAGTAAATTAAATGTAAAATATATTCAAAATGAAGATTGGTTTATGCACAAGATGACTCATCTGAACTGATTAATAAAACTGAACTACTACATCTCAGCTTTATCAAAGTGACAAAATCAAAAAAGCCAGACAAAACCAGCATATTTATTTAATTGAAATATATTCTGAAGTACACTTAAATATGAATGTACTGTAACTACAGACTAGGCTGTACCCTGGGAATTATGGAACGATCTCTGTGAGTTCGAGGCCAGCATGGGCTACCAAGTGAGTTCCAGGAAAAGGCGCAAAGCTACACAGAGAAACCCTGTCTTGAAAAACCAAAAAAAAAAAAAAAAAAAAAAAAAAAAAAAAAAAAAAAAAAAAAAAAAAAAAGTGTTAATTACTGTGAAAAAGAACCCTTTACATATGGCCTAGTTGATAATATAAAACAAAGGGAAGTGTTTCCTCTAGAGTTTGTGTATAGTTTGACATCATTATGATAATAGTGAAGGAAATAGTTTGTCTTAATTTTTAAAAATATTGTTAAACATCAATAGAATTTGTGATTCCATGATTTGTGTGTGTGTGTGTGTGTGTGTGTGTGTGTGTGTGTGTGTGTGTGTGTGTGTGTTGAATTCATGAGAATTCACAGGCTGCTCATGGTCATGTGTGCACATGCAGGTCAGATGTCTCCCTCTGTCACTCTCTGCCATAGCCATATTTTCCTATGATGGATGCCTCACTGAACCATATGCTCACCCTTTTGCATATTGAGCTCTTGGGATATGCCTGTTGATGTCTACTGAAACCATGCCTGGCTTCTTTCATAGATACTGCAGATTCACACTGAGGTCATTGTACTTTCAGACTCTTGTAGCCATCTCCTCAAACTTGATAAAATTGCTAAGAATGTCTAGAAATAACTAGAAGTAAATTTATACTTGTTTTCAAAATATTGCCCATTTGGTGCATAACTATTTCATTTGTAACAAGAGACAAGGACCAAATTTGGCACTTTGTTCATAGTGGAGGAAAATTCAACATGATTAATGACCTCACAGACATAAAGTCTTCAAATATCTACAAATAAACTTAAAAGAAATAGGCACAAAAAGTGAAAATATTAAGAAGAAAAAGGCAAAGCATTATGAGAAAGGAAGACGCTATAGGCTACTGATTCATGTGAATCATATGAGAGAAGAGAGACACAGAGAGAAGGAGATTTGGTCGTGAACTGGGGGATAGAGAACACTGATCTTATTGGCCTTGGCAAACACTTTGTATTATATTAATGTATCAGATTGTGTCTTTACAATGCAATGAGGTGATATGCAAGGGTTTTAGCATTTGAAGAATCTGTCATGATGCCTGATAGAGAGTGATTCAATAGAGACAAAAATGAGTTAGGGAGATGAGTGGGAATGAGTATGGGGTGACTGATAGCTTGGGTGAGGTGCAAGAGATTTTAGGTAACAATACGCAGGTAGAATTGACAGGGTTTGTAGATTTTCTCTAGGAAGATGAGAGAATTCCCAGTTAAGATGTCTTTCCTACTCCTTCTCTCCCTTTATCTTTTCTTTCTCTTTCATTTTCCTCCCTTCTTTTGTTCCTTCCTCCTTCCCTCCCTCCCTCTCTCCCTTGCTCCTCCCTCCCTCCCTCCCTCGCTCCCTGTTTCCCTCCTCTCTCCTTCCTTCCTTCATTATTCTCCTTTCTTTTTTCTTCTCTTTTATAACTACTTTTCTATCTCCTCTCTTTCTTTTGTGTTTTTCTCAATATTAGGAACTAACTTTGCATGGTCAGTCTGAGTCTTCCAGTCTATGTCCCCAGTCCTTTTTGTATTTTTTTTTTGTTCTGAAACAAGATCTTACTGAATTGCCCAGACTGGTTTTGAATTTAGTCTGTTACCCAGACTGACTTAAAACTAGTGATCCACCTGCATCAGCCTCTGTAACAGCTGGGAATATAAACTTGCATCGTTAGGGCTTGCCTAGACTTTTATCTCACACTGTAGTATCGGATAAAGTCAGCCACTGAAAGTGGTAAAGTTGGTGGTTCTTCAACCTTGGACTTTACATTATGAAAACAATTTAAAGCATGTCAAACTTTTATCATAAACTTCCTAAGGATCAGTTCACTTAGAGCTCAGGCATCTTTGAAATTTTCCAAATGGTTTGCTGGGCAAGGCATTAGATACCTAGCTGGGTGAGGAGACAGAATACACACAGTGTTTGACGTTGGCTGTTGCAAATTTAAAGTGCAAAGTCATCCTTGTACTTAAAATTAGAAATTATAAAACCAAATCTGGTGAATAACAGATCTTTGCTGGGCAGGAGGGATGTGGAACCAGATGTGGTCATTATGCAGGCATGATTATGATAATAAATTATGGAATTGAAGCTGGGTTTGAGAAAGGGACACAAGGTAATGATAGTCTGTGAGACACTGGAAAATAGAGGGGATTTCACCTTCTGTATACTGGTGATTATTTTGACTGTCAATACTATTTTTAATTATTTCTCGAAGTTGAGATTATAATTTCATCATTTCCCTCAAACCCTCCCATATACCTCTCCTTGTTCTCTTTCAATTAATGGCCTCTTTTTCATTAATTGTTGTTGTGTGTCTATGTACATACATACGTATTCCTAGATACAACGTGCTCAGTCTGCGTAAGGTCTCCTCAACATGACTGGCTAATCATAAGCTGAAAAGGACAACAATACACGGTAGGAGAAGAAAGTCAAGGGGGCTGCAACCCCACACAAGGAACTACAGCCAACTAAAGAATGCTGAGAACTAGCAGGGTATGCTGTTGTACTCCTTCAATTTCAGTACCTGGGAAGCAGACGCAAGAGGGGCTCTGTGAGTTCAAGGCCAGTCTGGTCTACATAGTGAGTTCCAGGATAACCAGGGCTATGTAGAGAGACTCTGTTACAAATCAATCAATCAATCAATCAATCAATCAATCAAAACAAAATAACAAAAGAATGCTGAGGGCTGAAGAAATAGTCTTCTCTTAAGACCTGAGATGAGCAAAGCTCATCTATCCAATATGGGAGAGCTTATGTAAGGCTTTGGTGCACATTAGTTGTATACACATTTCCTAATTACCAGGAAATAGAATATTGGTAGAAAGACCAGATGTCATCACCTGTGACACCATTACCTACCTGCCTGTAACACTAAGAAGTAGACTCAGTTCTATCAATTCTAGGGAATGCAGTTTGTGTAGTATGTGCAGGACAACACCAGGGGCCGTGGGCTGCTTGGTCATTGGTTTAGCTCTGCACAACTTGGTGATCTGGAAGCAGAGATGCTGCAATCCTGATGCTTGGCTTCTATCCTAGTGCAAGGGAGTTTGCTTTGAGCAAATTATGAAAAAAGAAAAAAAAAACAACCTGCTCTATTGAAGACTGTAGAGTATACTCTGATGCACGGCCAGGAATCACGTAAGTTAACTATCATGTACACATATACTCCTTGACATGCATAAAAAAGTTTCAAGATGTTTTTCAAACACACAGATTACATCAGTTACCTACTTCAAAACCTTCAACAAGTTCTTGTGGGTTTGGAAACAAATTAAGCTCCTTCCCATTACCTCTCCTTCTCCTCCTCTCCAGTTTCATCTCTCGGCTACTCTCCCCCTTACCATCTCTGAAGGTCAGTGCTCCAATCTCGCCCATCCACTGGCATTTGCAAAGGTTTATGCTCCATAGCACTAATACTCCTCCTTGGGCTTCATTCGTGATCATAACATCCCCTGTGCATTCAATTGAGCTTCACTTGCCCTTTTTCTTAGCGTTTCCACATTTGAAAATAAGTAGGAACACCCCTGGCCTCATATTAAATAACAGCACAGCTTGAAGCATGAGGTTCTCAGAAGCAGAATAAAACACTTCAGTATTTAAAAGTTAATCAGCATTTTAATTACCGAGCTTTAAGCTTTTCTTCAAAAGGAGAAGCAAAACACATTCATGCTGACAAACCAAGTTTGAGCCTGATGTTAGTGGAAATGTCAATTAAAAACCTTGAAAGGGAAACCAGAAGCCGGCCAGAGATGAGGAATCTGCTGAGAGCTGCTGCTGCAGCTGATGGCCTGTGCTTGTGTGAGTCTTGGGGCTCCCGGATCCCCAGAAACCCAAGGCAGGGTTTGCGGGATGTTTTGGAAGAGCAGCAGCTAGGCTGCCTCAGCCTTGTTCTGCCAGCGGAACCTTTTGTCTCTGGCATGCTAGAAGCTAAGCTGGCTGCAAAGGAAAAATGACAGGCGCTCACGGAAATGTGGGCTTTGATTAAGCCATTACTCTAAATAGAGCCGCCCCTACTCCTTCACAATCCGGAGCTGAAGTTCAAGGTAGAGAGGAACCCAAGAATTCCCCCTTTCCCTCGGTGCCTTCAAATAATGGCTTGTTTAAAGAATTCCTTTTTTTTTTTTTTGTGCAGTTTTGACAGTTCACAACCCAGCAGGCAGTTTGTTCTCTGTCAGTTCCCCCAGCCCTTTCCTGGCAGTCTGAACTATTTGTGAGCGAAGCTTGGCTGGGAAGCCTTGACTTGGAAATTCTTCAGGGTCATAGAGGCCTAAGTGTCTGCAGTGTTTATGCAGAGAGATTTGAAAATGAGAAATAATCTGTTTTCTTTTCTCAGGCAGTGGAAATATCCTAGGGCTGTTCATTATTTTGTAGTTTGTTGATCAATTTTTCATATGCAGCTGATTTAGCCAACTTGTTAATCCGTTTTTCCTTTAGGAAGCTTTGTTACGGCCTACATTTACATACTGTAATGCTATTGGTGCCATCATTCCTTTTACACTAATCTGTTCCATAACCGAGTAAAAACATTTGACAGGGACAGACAAAGGGTCTCTGTAAAATCCCAATTTCTTTCTTTCTTTCTTTTTTTTTTAAAAGAACATGTTTGTTTCTATTTTTTGGATGCTGAGTGTGTGTGTGTGTGTGTGTGTGTGTGTGTGTGTGTGTGTGTGTATGTGTATGAGAGAGAGAGAGAGAGAGAGAGAGAGAGAGAGAGAGAGAGAGAGAGAGAGAGAGAGAGGTACATGTCTGTAGGTGTGTGCACTATGCCATCAGAGGCTAGAGAAGGGCTCCAGGTGTCCTGCTTTATCATTCTGTCTTATTCCACTTGGACAGGGTCTCTTATGAACATGGAGCTAGACAGAAAGCCAGTAATTATGATCCTCCTGTCCCTGTCCCCCACAGTACTAAGTTATATGCATGCAAGACCGTGCCTGGCTTTTAACATCAGTGCTTAGGATTTGAACTCAGATCTTCATGCCTGCACAGCAGGGGTTATAACCACTGTTCATTCTCTTGAACTCCTAAGTCCTGATTCTTATAAATTGGTCTGCATGACCAAATCATAGTTTAGATTTTTTTCTTAACATAAGAAAACAATATTAACCCCACCCCCTTCCACATTTTTGAGACAGGGTTTCATTGTAGCTCCCTCTGTGGGATTCAAGAGGTCAGCATTGGCTGTGAGGAAGACAAGACTTTTATAGCTCAGAGGTAGGGGCTTTCCAAATGGGGGATTTGGTGGACAAAATAGGTGGGGTACAGGAGCAGAACATAAGCATAGCAAGTTAGTCATAAAGACCTCCTGAAACAAAAACACAATTGCAATGGGCATAAGAAGGTAGTCATAACAACACGTAGCCATATAACCTTTTGAAACAAAGGTAGGGTTGCAAGATGGTCATTTGTTTCACAAATTTGTGAAACAAAGACTTGATTGCCATTCTTGGAACAGGCAGTAGAGAACCATTTGTAGAATCCTTGAAAAAAAAAAACCAGAGGTTTAATTATAAACAGAAATGACTATGAGATGGCTTTTTAGCCTAAAATGGAGATAGCCTGTTTTTCAAACACTGATCAAAAATATTCTAACGACCACAAGTAGATGTGATTATTGTGTGAAGCTAATTAAAAACAGACAAAGCAACCAAAGACCAAATTAGTGACTTCCGCTGCCACCTTCTAGAAATTGCTAGAAAACAGTTGCCACACATTCTGTGTTCTACCTGCTTCTTTATGTGTTTGTTTTCCTAATTAGAATGTGCTCAAGGCCAGACCTTTCTTAATCGTTTTGGTATTCCTAGCATTTGTACATGTTCTGGCATAGAGAATAAACTCAACTGATATTTTTCAAATGTGTATAAAATCTTGTATGTCTATCACAGTAGAATATAGCCAAATATCAGTCGTGGCTATGGTAGATATTTCAGAGATTTCTTTCTTTTTTTTTTTCACAGTTTCTATCTTTTCTGCAGTTGAAACCGAAGTCATAGCAAGACCCTTCACTTTTACAGCTCTTTCTCATGTAAGTGAAAAGATACAGCAGGGGAAAATGTTTTCGTAGAACAACCACCCAAGGTCTCAGTTTCAAAGCCAAACCAAAACAAAACCTCTCCAAGACTTATAAATTATGAAGTGATCACACTTTGGGTTTGTAAAGCATGTTTCATCCTGGGATCCCTTCACTTTCTGATAAATAACTAGTTTATGTTGACAACTCCTTAGAGGTGAACTGGGGGTAGTATTATTTCACTGTTGGAAAGAATAGGGCTCAGTACAGTTAAATGGTTTGCCCTGGATCACAGGAGGCTTGTTCTACTTGGCTATTTGTTTAGCAGTTGCTTCTGCTTTTTAAAAGTATCATGGCTCCACTGCAGAGAACCTCTGGAATAGCTATGGGTTAGAATATGGTCCTTAGGACATCCTTTATGCAGGAAAGTTAGAATGCTCATTGTGTATGTTATGCTGTGCCTTTTGTACCCCACATCTTAACAAAAGTTTTGGTTAGTGAAATAAAGGAACTAGAATGATCTAGTTTCTCTGATCTGGTATCACTTCATCTATGTCCTTGCCCTAATAGTTGGAACTCTTTGCCCTCCATTTGAAATCCCTCTGCTCTCAAAGCTCCTGTATACATACAGATTCTTCCAGATAAAAATCAGAATTTTAAGTTATTCTTTAACCTTACTTTATAAATGCTTTCCTCTCATTGTTGTTCCAATGAGAGATTATTTATGATTTTGAAACACTTCACTGTTGAAGCAGATATTATTGATAGCTGAGAAAGTCTCATGAGACAATCCAATTATTTTTCATCCATCTGGAGACATATTAAAATTCTGTTGACTTCACTTCAAAGTCTATCAATGGTTAGGCACAGTATCATCATTTGTGCCAACATAAAACTAGGTACATGACTTTATATTTTAAATTGCACCATTGTAAACTTTATTTCATTGCATCTTCCCAATAGTTCGGGGAAATGGAAATTGTTATTTCCATTTACAGATGAAGAAAGGCAAGCTCAGAAACATTGCCAACCTTACACAGAGAACAGGTATCATACAGTAGGACTAGGATTTGAACACTTAGTTTTGAATTTAGTATCTTCATTATTGTGATGGTTAATTTTCATTGTCCACTTGATTGAATTGAGACATGCTTAAAAGATTAATACATTACTCTTCTGGTTGCATGGGATTGTTTTAGAGATGATTAATTATATAGGAAGAGCAACTTGGATATGGATGGTATCATCAGATAGTCTTGACTCAATTGGAACTAGGAAAAAAAATAAAATAAGGAAGAAAAAGTAAGGAGCCTATGAGCCGGGTCACATTGCTCTCTGCCTCCTGTGTGTCCTGCGGTATGCAGCTCCTTCCCCTGCTATGCCATTCCAAAATGATAATTCCATTTGCTACTGACCTGAAAGATAATGAGTCATTCAGCCTTGGATCTTTAAAACTGTGAGTCAAATTAACTATTTTCTCCATTTTGCTTTTTGTAATTTTTTTCTCACAATAAACACAAGATAAGTAATGTAATTATCATCATCATAATCATTGTTGCAGCAAAAATACCAATTATTTTTAATACTATTTTTCACATGTCCCAGGCACTCCATTAAATATTTTCACCAATTCTTACATACTTTTAAAGACAGAATAGTATTTTAACAAACTGCCACTATATTTTCATTTAATCTTAACAATAACCCCAAAAAACTGAAGTCAGGAAGTTGGTAAGTTGGTTAAGGTCACACAATTTGGCAATAGTAGATGACAGATGATTTATACTTTTATTTTTATTTATCTTTTATTTTGATTGAAGAATAGTTGATAATACACCAACAACTATACATAACTAGTATACATGTCTGTGTTTGAAAATAAGTGCATACCTATGAGATCATTACATTACAGTTCCATACATATAATCATTAACTATAGGAGTTTTCTCTGTTTTATTTTTGATGATAACCCTATGTCTATTGTACTAAACTTAAGCAAACAATACAATATTATTAACTACATATACTATGCTGAAAGTAGATCTGTAGGACTTTTTCACTTTACATAACTGAAACAATGTACTTGCTATGGTTAATTATCATTGTCAACTTGGAAGGATTTAGAATAATCAGGAGATCAACATATCTGGGTAATTCTCTGAGGCAATATCCACAAAGGTTTCCCTAAGGAAGGAAGACTCAAACTAAACATGAGAGAGACAATACCATGGGCTGAGGTCACAGACTAAGTCAAAAAGGAAAAAGCAAGTAATAGAATTTATGCATTGCTGTTTCATGACTGTGGATGCTATGTGACCAGCTGCCTCATGCCATGTCATGATGAAGTATACCTTAAAACTATAAGCCAAAAAATTTAATTAATAAAATTGAATAAATAAAATCAGACAGGTGGATCAATGGAATTGAATTAAAGACCCTGATGTAAATT